CAAGATTTTCTCTCCTCCCTAAGCTTGTGGCCACATGGGTAGTGAGAGAGTTCTGAGTTCAGATTCTTATTCTTTCATTCCTTGTGTGACCCTGGTCAAATCCCATTGCCTCTGCATCTGAGAAATGAGGGAAATGGGCTAGGTGACCTTCTAAGGGCCCCTTTATCCTGCCAGCCCCCTCTCCCCCAGCTGCTCAATCTGCTCTGACCATGTGGCCAGCCAAGGGGAAGGTGCCATAAGATGAATATTTGCTGAGGGACCCACGGTCCGAAGGAGGCCAGTGAGGCTGGATTTGGCTTTGGGAGGGAGGCCGGAGCTGGAGGGCCTCCCTTCCCCCACCTGTCCTGGGTCTGATGTCAGGTCCGCCTTGGGCGTCTTCTCCCTGGTAGGAAGGGAAAGGAAGGGGGAAAACTGTGAAGATTCAGTGACTCGGAAAAACTGAGGGGTTTGAAACCAGTCAAGGAGGGAGAGAAGCCCAAGAGGGAAGAAGGTAGCTGTTTTCCACATTTTTTCTGGGAGGCGGAACAGGATGAGATTCTGGAGCCTGCACCATGAAGGACCGGAGAGACAGTGTGGGTTCTCAAAGGGTTTGGCAGATTTGGAGTCAGAAGAGACTTGGGTTCAAATCCTGCCTCTGACATTTACTGTCTGTTCGACCTCAAGCAAGTTGGGTTACCTCTCTGGTTTGTAAGACTCCATGTCTCCCCAACTATCTTTGGGCACTGTCTGTGATCTTCTGAGAGCTAACAGGTCACAGAAGGCAGGGGATGGATGAGATGAACTTTCAGGGCCCTTTTTCACCCTGGAATGCCAGACTCCCACAGTCCACCACAGCTGAGAAAGCAGGAGTGACTTGTGGTATCTTCTGGCCCTGGTGTGGTGGGTCCCATTTCTCCTTTTTATTAAGACTCTCACAAGCAGCCTGGCACATAGGTCGGTATCAGGAAAGAGCAAAATTGCCAGGTTTGTCACTTAATGGCCATGTGACTGGGCAAGTCACTCACACTGTCGCCTCTGGGCCTCAGTTGCCTGGTCTGATCTTTAAAGGGAGCCCTGCCCTCTCAAAATACCTGGGAGGGGGGAGGACAGACAGTGGAGCTCGGCACCCTGGCATGACAGGACTGCCCAAGGAGGTAGCTGAGGTCTTTCTCATTAGATGGGAGGGACCAGGCTGGGCAAGCATTCTCGGGTGTCAGCATCAGTCAGCAGATTTCATGGTTTTCCCACTTCTGCTGAGTGGTGACTAGCTTTGGGCCCTCTCTCCTGTTGAGAGCAGGGAGGGGCAGGCCCCCAGGGTCGGCACCAGCCAGAAATAAATAAATAAGTGAATGAAGACAAGGGATTGATTCATACAAAATCTGCTAGTCTAGAGTGGGATGGCTGGGGTGAGGAAGGATGGGTGGAGGCAGAGAAGGGCGAATATCTGAATCTGAGCTTTCAGTCCAGCACTGATCGGGCCTCCTGGGGGAAGGAAGAGCTGAGGTATCTAATCCACTCAGGGGCCCAGGGAGAGGGCAGAAGGGCTGAGCCGATGATCCAGGGTGGACGTGATAGACTTTTGTCCAGGTTCTGACTTCTCAGGGGGTGCAGAATGGGATCCTGTGACATTGTGATCGATTCCCATACATTTATTTATATCCCCATTTATTTCCCTCCGACCACCACCAGCCATGCCTCATTGGTAGCTGTGTGCTCCGGAAGGCCTTATCAACCCAAAGGCTTCTGGTCTAGGGCTGGGGGCCATTTGAATCTGGCCTCTGGGAACTAATTTGCAGAGCAACTTAAACTGACCCCCAAGGCACAGAAGCATTTTCATCTTCATTCCAGGACCAGGTATCCACAAGGATACAGTGTATGACTGATATATTGTTTGGATGCTAGAAGAGCCCAATTCCCTAGGGTGTAGATATCCTAACAGTGATTGAGCAGTGGTAGGGGGTATATCAGCCTCTTGAAGGCAGTGACAGGTCTGTCTTCTGTCTTTACATCCCTGGTGCCTGGCATTAACACATGCTTGTGTAAATGAATGAATGAGCTGTTATAGACAGGATCCATGCTTTGGGGAAGGGACTAGATGGCCCTTGTGATCCCCTCTGGTTCTGACACTTTTTTGTTTTGTTTTGTTTTGCCTAGGCTGTGGGGTTAAGTGACTTGTCAGGGGTCACACAGCTAGTAAGTGTTATGTGTCTGAGGCCAGATTTGAACTCAGGTCCTCCTGAATCCAGGGCCAGTGCTCTATCCACTGTGCCACATAGCTGGCACTGGCTCTGACATTTTTAAAAAATTAAGATAAAATTTTTTCAATCAATAAAAAAATCTATTTTGTCTTCCTTGGTTCCCCGCCCCATTGGGAAAAAGAAAAACAAAGCCTTTGTAACAAACGTGATGTTCTGTTTACAGGAAAAGTCAAAGCAGAGAGAGAGCTTGCCTGGGGCACATCATTGTTATGTCCTGGCTATGGAAGGGGCAGTAGGTAGTAGGTATGTCTCATGGCCCATGGGGACGGAATGAGCCCACTCATCCTACCAACTCAAATACCTCTGTGTGCCCATTTTGGGCACGTTTGATTGGGCGTCAGATTCAAAGATTCAAATCTCTCCTCTGACACTGACCACCTGAGTGGCATTGGACACCTCTCTGCACCTCAGTTTTCTCAACTGTAAAATGAAAGGGTTGTACCAGATGATTCCCGAGTTCCTTTGCAGCTCTAAAAGAATGAGATGAGGCTAGCTCCCTAATTTATTTTTTTCAATTCATAAAAAAAATCTGTTCTCTATTTCTCCTACTTCCTCTCTATTGAAAACAAAATAAGACTTCTGTACCAAGAGGCTAGCTAGCTAATTTTTAAAAATTCATAAAAATCTCTTCTCCATCTCTCTCACTTCCTCTCCCCAGCATTGAAAAAAACAAAACCTTTCTAGCAAGAGAGGCTCATTCTCAGGTGGGATGGGTCTGGGGGCTGTGGTTCTCTCGGTGAGAATGCAGGGGCCCTGATCCTGTGGCTTCCTTTGGGGAGACTTAGGAGAAATGCAGGGAAGGCTCTCGATGAAAGGATTCCTTGGCTTCCCCAGAACACTGGCATGATGTAGGGGAAGAGCATTGGTTTTGGGGTCTGGGTTTGACTATGGATGTATAACTTTCTGTGCCTCAGTTTCCCCCTCTGTAAAAGGAGAGGGTTGGCTCAGTTTGCCTGGGAGGTCTATTCTGTCTCTGTGGTGATGATCCCATGAATAGGGGTTCTGTCTTCCAGGCTTTAAGAAGGTAGAGCCTCCTGACCTTCCCAGGCTATGTTGGGAGGAAGCTCTGGATGAAGGAGCTAGGGGCACTGGGATGTGACCAGATGCCTCTTGTGGGTGACTTCCTCTGCCTGAGGCAGAGCGGTGGCCTCTGGGAAAGAGGCATGAGTGGGAGACCAGGTCAGGCAGCTCAGGTTTCCAGCTGCCTCGGAGGTCTGGCCAGCCAGCCTGTGTGCAATTGGACACCTTGGCCCAGGCCAGCGATGCCAAGCCCTGATAGGCTAGGCTCAGGGCCATGGCAACAGGTGGCCCGCCCTTCCCCAGACCTGGCACCCGCCTCCCTGCATCCTGGGGCTCTTCTCCTGGAACAGCCAATGGGCCGCCAGCATATCTGACAGGGAGGGCCCCGCTGGCCACCCTGCCCCAGGCTCTGTGGGTAGCACTTATCGGCTGGGACTCACCTGCAGAGTTTCCTTGGGCTGAGGGAGAAGGTACCAGGGTCATGTTGGGCAGGATGCTAAGCCCAGCATCCCCTTCTCTGGGGAGCACAGAGCCCCCATGGGGCTGCTGAGCCCTCTCCTCCCACCAGCCGTCCCACCCTGTCAGAAGATGTGGCAGGCAGGATCCCCCAGCCATCGAGCAGGTCTGACCCCCAGCAGCAACAGCCAGGTATGGTTCTCAAACACGAGCTGCCTTTGTCTTCTCCCTGGCCCCAGCTCTGGGGCTGTCTGAGGGATCGAGTTCACTCACGCTCTTCCCCTGGCCCCCTTCCACTCCTCCGGCTCTCCTCTGGGCTTCTGTCTCAGAGAATTGGCTTCTTTCCACTTGGGTGCCTGGCACCTTCCCCCAGGACACTTCAGAGACTCAGGAGAGGCAGATCTCTCTGGGGTGAGGGACCAGTAGGGGGAGGTCTGGACGGAGAGAGGCAGGTGAGCATCCCCATTGGGGGCTGTACTGTACCAGGTGAGCCCATCGACAGGAGGGGTTGGGGGCAGGGTTCAGAGAACTCATGTGGGAGAAAGAATGATGTATTCAGAGGACCTGAGTTTGAATTCTGACTTGCCTACTCATTACTTGTGTGGATCTGGGGCAAATGATTTAAATTCTGAGGTGTCAGTCTCTTGGTCTGTAAAATGGGTTACACTGGATGATCCCTAAGCTAGTTCCCTTCTAGCCCTGTCAAGGGAATTCCAATCTTCCTTTCTGTTTGACCAAGGGGATGGGAATAAAGACGGAGGCTGAGGAGGGCACCTGCAGCCCTGAAAAATACAGGGTAGCATCATGGGGCTTCTCACCTCAGTGATCAATCATGGCCTCCATTCCTAGCATGGGATAGCCTCAGTCTCTGGGTCTCACACAAGGCTGTGCCCACATCAGCCTGGAACAAAAAACAGCTGTGACTTTATTGTTTCCCCTAGGTCTCTTTATGATGGGCTGGGGGAGCCCTCGGGGGCCAGGGCTGGGGTTGCGGGTGAAAAGGAGCTGTGATAGCTGGCACGGCCCCCTGGCTCCCCTCTCCTTCCCAGGCCCAGTCAATTTTGTTTTCATTTTATTTTAAATTAACAAGCATTTATTTTCTCTCTTTCCTACCTACCCCCCCCAAAAAAAGAAAAATCAACAAAATGACATACAGACAAGCAGAACAGATTTCCACATTGATCCTGCCAAAAAATGTGTGTGTCTTTCTGCACCTTGTGTCCTTCACCCACTCTCTGTCCGGAGATTCTGCCCTTATTGACACCTCTCCTATTTTGTTCTCCCCAGCCTGATCTCCTCAACTTTAAGAAGGGATGGATGTCCATTCTGGATGAACTAGGCGAGGTAAGAGAAGCATCGTGCTGGGGAGGGGGTAGCTTTTATATGGCTCCAAGATTCAGGGCTGGAGTCTCCTGTGCACTCACCATGGCCTCCCGTCTCAAAGGCAAACAATCACCATTTTCCCTTTTCTTATATCAGGGGAAAGAGCATTGATTCTAGGGTCAGAGTACCTGCCTTTATGTGACCTTGGATAAGTCACTTCACCTGGTTCCCAGTTTCTTCTTGCATAAAATATTGGAGTTGGACTCTTGGGTCGCTTGCTGTTTGAAATCTAGGATTTTGTGACCTAATCATTTGACTTCTTGGGCCTCAGTTGTAAAATGAGGGGTCAGACTAGATAACCTCAGCTTCTTTCCAGCTCTCTGCCTCAGTTTCCCCATCTGTAAAATGAGAGCATTGGACTAGACGGTCTCTGAGGTCCCTTCCAGCTCTGGATCCAGGATTCTAGATAAAATCATGCGTGTAAAGTGCTTTAGCAGGATTATTCCTCATATAAACTCTTTAAAGAAACATTCCAGGTAGGAGGAGAACATTCTAGGCAGCTGAAGCCTAGAATGCTTTCTGGACTGGACCCGCAGCCTTCCCAATGCTTGGGGCAAGGTGGGGGTGGAATGACTGAAATGCTCACCAGATCACTCTCAGCCAGGATTCTGGTCCCCCCTGGCTTCTTGGAGGGGGCATCTGCTTAGTTTCCTGCCATTTGGTTTAATGGCATTTGGGCCAGGAGACCCAGGATGACATCCTGGCTCTCTGTTTGCCAGCGTGAGGCTCTTGGGCAATGTCCTTCCTTTCCCTGGGCCTCAGTTTCCTCCACGGTAAAATAAGAAGGTTGGACTGGATCGTGGGTTCTTAAATGGGGGGGGTCCTGGAGCCCCCTGGAGGTCTGGCATGCATAGGGGACCCCTGCTTGGAATCACGAGAACACACAAGATTACAAAGAAAGCCACTTGTATGGAAATCCAGTTTTACAAATGCTGCCCCAACAAGCTTGCAGCGCCCTGGTAAAGAGCTCCTGGACTAGACGCTCTCCCCATCGGGGAGCCATTTCCTCTCCTGGCCTTGGCTCCCCCCACTGAAAGGCAGGAGCAGGAGGCTCACGAGCCCCGGATGGCGGGGGGTCGGGTTGAAGGGATCCATTATCACATTTCAAAGGCATTGGCAGCCAGCCAGACCCAGCACAAGGCTTCAAGAAGTAGTCTTGGCTACCTCTCTGGGTGGGTGCAGTTCCCTGCTCCTGGTGCCCAAGCAAAGCCCACCTTTGAATGTGGGGGAGGGGGGCGTGCTAGGGTTTGGGGCCTGAGGGATGGGCTGAGCATGCTGGGGGGGGGCCGGGGATTGACAGACAGAGAGAGAAGATAGTGGGTTTCAGAGACAGGCAAGGGCCTGGTGGGCTGTCTTGTCCTCCGTGACCATTGGAGATGAACCCTCCAGACCTTTGCCTGGCCAGTAAACACTGCCTGAGTTGCATTTCCTCTTTGCCTCCCGTCCCTCCCTCTCCCATCTCAGGCTTATCTCCGCTAGCCTCAGTAACATTCTCCATTCCTGAAGAGAGCACATGACTGACCACCCTCTCCCACTGACCAGTTAACATAAAATCCTAGGCTGAGAGAGCTCACAGGGCCACATCACCTCTAATCACCTCATTTTTACTGATGGGGAAATGAGGGGAGGTTCCTAAATGCCCAAGGCACACACAGCCAGTTAATGGCAGAGGGGAGACAGGAACCCCAAGTCTCCCTCCCTCCAGCTCTTTCTGTCCACTTAGAAGACTGGGTTATACCCGCTGAACGAGCCACTTCCCCTTCTGTACTATGTCCTGGGTTTTTCCCTTCAGAAAAAGCAAACCATCTCAGCTGGGGGAGATGGAGCCCTGAGCTCTCTAGGGCAGGAAGTGCAATTGACACTCAGCATTATCTTAGGTTCTCTTCTCCACTGTCAGGAGACCTGAATTCACATCTTACCTCTGATACCTCCTGGCTGTGTGACCTTGGCTGAGTCACCTAAACTGGGTCTTAGGAGAATATGTGGCTTCCCAGGAGCCTTCCAACTCAAGATCGAGGCTCCTTTGGCCTTGGGCGAGTCATTTCCTTCGGGTCTCAGTTTCCCCATCCACAAAATGAGAAGGTTCAACTAGGGGACATCGGAGGCCCGTCCCAGCTCTAGTTCTGCTTCCCCAGGCCTCAATTTCCCCAGTGTGAAATGAAGGGGTGACCTCTTGCCCCTGCCAGCTCTAGGACCCTGACCCTAGGCTTCCTTGGGAGCTCTGCCGTCCACCAGGTTAGAGAGGGTTGTGCTGGGCGCTGTCTTCCTGACATGTTGCTTGCTCCTGGGCCAGGGACAGAAGGATGCCTGCACGGTGACTCCTTCCCAGCTGTTCCCCAGTTTATTTATCCCCCCCCATGCCAACGGAAACATTCCCCCATAGTTCTGTCCTGACCCTATTTCCCCTTGCTGGCATGCTGGGCTTGGCCCAGAGCCCTGAAGGCTTTCAGTACCACCAGGTGTGGCCCTGGCCTAAGGCCTCCAGGACTTCAAGCAATTGCCTGGGGAGGAGGGAGCCAAAGTGAAAATAAGCCTGGATTGTTAGCTGGAGGAACTGGGTTCAAATGTGACCCAGCTATTTACTGCTTAGGTCTGTGATCTTGGTCCCGTCCCTTTCACTCTCTGGGTCTTGGTTCTCTCATCTGTAAATAGAGGGGAGTTAGGGGGGCAGCTAGGTGGTGCAGTGGATGGAGCACCGGCCCTGAAGTCAGAAGGACCTGAGTTCAAATCCGGCCTCAGACCAAACACTTGACACTTACTAGCTGTGTGACCCTGGGCAAGTCACTTAATGCCAACTGCCTCCAAAAAAAAAGGGGGGGAGGATTTAGACCCCATGATCCCCAAGGTCTAGGACTAGATGAAATCGGCGTAATTGCCAGCCCCTGTGGCCTTCTTCTTCCAGAAGCTGCTGCATTCAGTCTTGAGCAACCGCGTCCCCAAAGCTTGGTCAGGATTGTCAGCATGTCAAAGTGGAGTTAGGCCAACCTGACCCCAGTCCATCAGACCTGCACCCCAGTGTCCTTTCTTCCTACTGGCACTCGTGGGACCAAACACGGGTGTGCCTATAAACAAGTACACGTCCATGACACACCTCAGGGCCAGCTGTTTATTTTGCAGGAATAGCTGTTTGATCACTCAGGAGCGGGGAACTTCAAAGCAGGGAGGGCCAGAGAAGACGACGTGGTACAGCTGGGAGGGGCCTTGGGATCCAAAATGGAGGACCTTGCCTCTTACCTCATTCAAAACCCGGAGGCTAGTCTCCTCATCCTACAGCTCTCATGAGCTCCTCTTCCACCCCAGTCTCCCATGAAGATGTGGCCCCTCTCCTCCTGAGGCCGACCCCTCCACATACATGTGCCCTTGGTCCCCTCCCCTCCCGCCATCATCCCCCTGGCCACTGGCTCCCTCCCTGCTGCCTAAAAAACCATGTCTCCCCCAGCCTTAAAAAACCCTCACTTGACCTGACCAACGTTGCTAGCCAGTGGCCCACATTTCTCTCCTTTTCTTATCCAATAATTCCATCTACAACTTAAGTTTTAAAGTGAATGCTGAAAATTGTTTTTACATATAATTGGGGACAAATGAAATACTAAATTAAACAGTGATTAAGAACAAAAAAATCCATCTACAATTGCTTCCTCCATTTCCTGTCCTCTCATTTTTTTTCTTTTTGAGTCAGAGTTAAGTGACTTGCCCAGGGTCACATAACTGGTTAGTGTCTGAGGCTGGATTTGAACTTGGCACCTGCTGACTCCAGGGCTGGTGCTCTATCCAGTGTATGACCTAGCTGCCCCTGTCTCATTTGTTTTTAAAACCTCTGTAAAATCTTGCTTCTGACGTCATCATTCAACTGAAACCTTCTCTCTAGGTATTGATGATTTAACGTGATGGCTTTTTCTCAGTCCTTGTCCTTCTGGACCTTTCTGTGGCCTTTGACCTCGTTCATCACCCTCCCTCTTGGATACCCTCCTCTCTCCTCTTTCTCCTCATAACCATGCCTCTGTCTCCTTTGCTGGATCTTCACCCCACATGCAGTAAGTGTCCCCTGAGGGTCTATCCCAAGCCTTCTTTTCCATCTGTGCTCTCTAACTTAGGGCACCCAAGGTTCAGTGATTCCCAGATCAATGGATCTAGCCTAGATCCATCCTGAGCTGAGCTCCAGGTTCAAGTTGCCCACACTGCCTTTGGACACATACAGCAAGATATCCTGTCTTCCTACTGTCCTTGGTACTGAAGAGGACACCCCCTTCCTCCCAGTGGGCCAAGCTCTCCACCTGGGTGTCCCCTCGACTCCTCGCTGGCACTCACCCCTCCTATCCACTTACTGTCAAATCTTGTTTCTACCTCAACTTCGTCCCCTGGACACCTCCCCTTCTCTCCTTACACAGCCACTGCCCAGGGAAGCTGCGTGTTTTCATGTGGAGATATGGGGAAGGGGAAGGAATTTTGTGAGAGCCTGGGTCTTTGTCCTGGAAGGATCCAGATAAGACCTTGCACCTGGAACAATTAGCCAGAGGCATGTAATTACGTGCTAAGGTCGGGGATTGAGGCCCTTCCTTGTGTGGGACTTCAGAAAAGGCAAAGCTTAGGGTCGGGAGAATTGGGCCAGTTTTCCACATAATACCTCTTTTGACATTAGTAGTTAAATGGTACACTGGCTAATGTGGTTTAATTTCGTGAGTTCAGATCCAGCCTCAGCCACTTACTGTGTGACCCTGTGCTTAACCTGGCTGCCTCAGTTTCCCCATCTGTAAAATAGGATAATAATAGCACCAGCCTCCCAGGGTTATTGTGAAAATCAAATGAGATGATATTTATAAAGTGCTTTACAAACTTAAAGCGCTAGCTGTTATTATTGTTGTACCGGTATCTTTATCCTCTGTGTTTGACATATTGGGAAACTGAGGCTCAGAAATGAAATGACTTGCCCGGGGTCACTCAGGTAGAAAGAGTCCAGGAAGGATCGGAACTCTGGTCTCCTTCCTGATTCAAGGTCTAAGGCTCCTTTCCCTATGCCACACTCCATTCCGTATCTTGGGCCAGTTCCTCCCTGGAGAGAGGGGACTGGATAAGGCTCTTCTAGGCCAGTCCTGAAGGACTCCTTAGCTCCACAGCACTAGTCTAGGACTTCATCCACGTGGTCCCAGCCAGGGCCAAGGAGTGAGTGGCCCAGCCCTGCACAGAGGCGCCTTTGCCGTCAGCTCTGACATTCTTGGCTTCCCCTCTTCTCAGCCCCTGGAGAGGCGGCGGGTGGCAGTGCCAAAAGCTGGCTGGGGCTGCTTTAATCTTCAGCCAGGCTCCATGCCCCGGTTTCCTCCCCTGGGCGGGAGACCCACTTCCGCGTCCCTCTATCGCCCCCTAGAGGCTCCTGGTGGTCTTTGTGCTCGATGCTGACTAGACCGAAGCTTCTAGAGTGAGAGATCTGGAAGGAAGAGACCCCAGGTTCCACTTTCTAATGGAGAAACTGAGGCCAGGAGAGTCATAGAGCCAGAGCTGGAAGGGAGAGACCCCAGAAGCTATCCCACCTGGCCCCGTCATTTCACAGAGGAGACAACTGAGGCTCCATGAGGATGAGGGACTTGTCCAAGGTGAGAAAACTGAGACCCAGAAGAAGGAAGTGGCTTGTACAGTCATGCAGCTAGCAAGTAGCAGTCAGGATTTGAACCCAGACCTTCTGAGCCCTGATCCAACTTTCTTCCGTACCAATTCCCCTGCAGAAGACTTGGAAATCCTCAGGATCATAGGATTATACATTTAAAGCTGGAAAGTACTTGGAAGGTCTGTGAACTTGGCATTTTAAAAAATCCTTTGATGACTTTATTATGATTGGTTTCCTCTGTAATTCTAGGTATTTTATATTCATTCAAAAAACATGGATTCAAAAAAATGGGCTTCAGCATGACTGCCTAGAGAGTCTAGGATCCAAAGCTGCATTCAGAGTGATCCCCTGATCTAATTCAACCCCTCCTTTTACTGAAAAGAAAACTGAGGCACAGCAAGATCAGAGGACTTGTCCAGGGTCACACAGCTGCTAAGTGACAAGGGTTTGCTAATTGAGGTCCAAATCCAGGGATGTTCATCCTCTTAGTAAGAAGGAGCTGTTTGTCTTGTGTGAAAGGGGTCCAGTAAAGACAGCACTACGCGTCGGCCCTGGAATCGGGAGGACCTGAGTTCAAATCCAGCCTCAGACTCTTGACACTTACTAGCTGTGTGACTCTGGGCAAGTCACCTAACTCCAATTAAAAACACAGCACTAGCCATGGAATCTGGGGTCTTGCAATCCTGGGCAGATGCTTCTCAAACCACCCAACAAGAGAATTTCTTCTCCTTAGGAGTGGAGATCTTCCAATCCTACATGGAAGGTTTAACCATAATTTCTACATCAGTGTTTCCCCCATCATCTGGGGTCCTCCACTCAGCCCCTCGGAAGGCCGCCCCCAACATCCAGCCATCCCCTGCCCATTGCCCCCTTACCAACTCTCCCCAACCACCCTATAAGATTCCCCCTGATACTCTCAATCAGGTTGCTGTGATCTTTGGGCAAGTCAGCCAGCCCAGGCCTCAGTTTCCTCATCTATAAAATGAAGGATCGTACCCAATCAGAGCTTCTTAACCTGAGGTCTGTGAACCTGTGTTGTTTTTTTTTAATACGCTTTGATAACTATATTTTTAAAAATTGATTTCTTTTGTAATCTTATGTATTTTTATTTTATACATTTTAAAACATTATTCTGAGATGGGGCCCCTAGGTTTCGCTGGACTGCCTGCCAGAGGTGGGATCTGATACGGGAAAGGCCTAGGTGGGCTCTAAGGGCATCTGCATTCTACATATATGATTCTGTGGCCTCTCTGTGCCTCAGTTTCCTCTGCTGTAAATTGAGGAAGCTGAACTAGATGACTCCTTGGTCTTTTGTCCTGTGACCCTATTCTCTGATTCCTGTAGACCAGCTCTCCTGACTCCAAAACCTATGCTCTTCCTCCTTGGCTGAGGTTCTTTGAAAGCATCAATCTGAGGGCTGAGAAATGGGACTCCAGGCATTAGACACTGTCTGCTTAGCACCCAGCACAATGGTAGGCACTTAGGAAGTACTAACAAAATGCTTTTTCATTCATTCATTTGTAGTGGCCCTTCATTTACTGCAGATTCCCTCCAGCCTCTCCTGATGGTGGAGACGTGGGAGATCAGCTCCTCCTCTTTCCCCCCTCCCCACACTCTCCAGTCCCAGCCACATGGAGCCTTCCTGGCGGCCACATCCCCCACTCAGCCATTAGGCAGATCCAATCATTCCCAAGTGGTTCCATTGCTGACCCCTAGCCTCTCCCTCCCTCTCTACAGTGGAAGAAACATTGGTTTGTGCTGACTGACTCCAGCCTCAAATATTACCGGGACTCCAATGCGGAAGAGGTAATGTTGCAGGGTGAGGTTGGGCTGGGAGCAACCCCTGGTCGGTCCTCCCCACTTGGGTTGGGGTCTTCTTGGAACTTTCACTGAGAAAACAGGAAGAATGCAGTCAGCCCCCTCCCCTTTTTGCTGAGGGGGGAGTGGGACACTGCATGTAATGCCAGATTGATGACCCTTAAATTTACTCAGTTTCCCCATCTTGTTCATTCTTTGTTATAAAGTATGGCACTCTAGAAGGGAGGGAGGAGGGATATGTTAGGGAAATGAATATTTAAATATATTTAATATTTAAAATATTAGCATAAGATTGAATATATTTGAACAAAAGGTATGAAAACATTTAAATGATGAGAAAAAAGATTAAAATAATAAAAGAGCAGCCTGGCAGGTTTGGCTGTCCCCCCAGGGTAAGTCTTGCCTAGACGCCTCTTGCCCAGATTGGAGCTGAATTGGGAAAGTGGGTATTTATTAGGAAGGAGGCTGATGGATTATCTGTGCCCCCGCCCAGGGCTCTGGGCCAAACAGGACCTGAGTCATGTGTTTATGGGAGTGAGCAGAAAGAAGGAGAAGACAGGAGGGGCGTGGCAGGGCCAAGGTGGGCTGGGAGCCTCCTGACCCCCTGACGTGTTGCGTTCTGTCTCAGGCCGATGAACTGGACGGAGAGATCGACTTACGCTCCTGTACGGATGTGACAGAATTCGCTGTCCAACGTAACTATGGCTTCCAGATCCACGTGAGTGCTGGAGGGGAACCAGACACAGGGAATCCTGGAACCTTGAACCAGGAAGAGACACCCTATGATCCAGGGAAACTGCCTTTGGAGGCCCCGGGCCTGGGTTCAAATCTCACCTCTGGTGTTTGCTACTTGTGTGACCTTTGGGCAAGTCCCTTAACCTTTCAGGGCCTCAGTTTCCCCTTCTGTAAAATAAGGAGGCTAGATCATATGACCTATAAAGTCCTTTCTAGCTCTAAATCTGTGATTATTTGATCCTTGGACAAGGACCTTAGACCCCCTGGGCTTTAGTTTCCTCTCCTGTAAAGTGAAGGGGTTAGATCAGGGGTGGGGAATAGCCTGAAGGCCACATGTGGCCTTCTAGGTCCTCAGGTGCAGTCTTTACTGAGTCCAAGTTTTGCAGAACAAATCCTTTTATGAAGGAGATTTGTTCTGTGAAGTTTGGATTCAGTCAAAGGGCCACAGTCAAGAACCTAGAGGGCCACATGTGCCTACGAGGCCAAAGGTTCCCCACCCCTGAGGTCCCAGCTCTAAATCTATAGCCTGATGAACCTCCAGTTCATTAGTCATCAAGGGTGACCTCCCACCTAGGACTGGCATGTCCTCTACAACATGTTGGAAGAGTGGGGGGAAGGGACAGCTAGCCTCTGCTCGAATACCTCTGGTGACAGAGAGCTCACTACTTGAAGGTGTAGATGTGAGAAGACCAGCCTTAGTCCTCATGGTCTTAGGAAAGCCAAGGGACCTTGCCTTGAGACCCCAGGCTTTCTCCGTGATTCCTTTTGAAACCTCACTGGTTACAAGGCTCCCTGCTCTTTCATGAGCCTTGACTCCTACACGGACACTAACGGGTCTGTAAGAGATCCCAGCCCTCCCCTCCTCTGTCTCCCCCTTTTCCCCTTCGGCTGTTGCCTCGTGTAACCAGATGCCTGACTCCAGTGTCTGCTTCCTCTTCCCTGTCTCCTCAAGCTTCAGACCTCAGGAGGGTTTCTAAGGGTTATTTGCAAGGAGAAAGCACACGCACACATTCTGGACTGTTAGACCAGAGGCAGATCGTTGGAAGTAGCAAGGGAGAAGAGGTGGGCATGGATGGGGATTTGGAACATGAGGGCTGGATTTGGAGGCAGAGGACCCAGGTTCAAATCCCACACTTCCACTTCCCAGCTGTGTGACCTTGGGTAAATCCCTTCTCTGGCCCTCGTTTTCTCATCTGTAAAATAAAGTGACATCAGTGCCTTGGAGCTTTTCTGCCCTGCCTGGGATTAAGCTTTGTCTTCCCAGGGCTCAGCACAGTGCCTGGCATGCAGTTTTGTTTTGTTCAGTCATTCCAGCCGTGTCCGACTCTTTGTGACCCCATTTGGGGTTTTCTCAGCAGAGTTAGCGGAGTTGTTCATTTGTCAGCTCATTTTACATATGAGGAAACTGAGGCAGACAGAGGTGAAGTGACTCACCCAGGGTCACCCAGCTAGTAAGTGTCTGAGGCTGGATTTGAACTTGGGTCTTCCTGACTCCAGGTCCATTGTGCCACCTACTTGCCATAGTGGGCACTTGACAAATGTTCATTGCCCGGCTGCCCGCTCATTGCTTGCCTAGTATTGAACCCCCAAAGTAGAAGGGGAGATGTGGAGCCTGGTGTAGGCTATCCCCCCAGCCCACAGCTCACGCAGCAGCCCAGAGGAGATGTTGCAGGGCAGGGGGCTGGGGCCGGGCTTGGCTAACCGGTTCACTGGGATCTCCTTGCAGACGAAGGATGCCGTCTTTACGTTGTCGGCCATGACTTCTGGCATCCGGAGGAACTGGATTGAGGCTCTGAGGAAGACCGTGCGGCCAGCTAACGCCCCAGATGTCACCAAGTATGTACATGGGCAGGTGGGCAGGTGGGAGGAGCGGGGAGGCCGCCTTCCCAAAGCAGGCTCCAGTCCAGCCTCGCAGTCTGAGCCCACCCAAGCAAAGGGACGCCATTGGTGCTGGGAGGCTCCAGTGGCCATGGCGATCTTGCCTTACAACCACCCTGCAAGCTGGAGCGGGGAGGATTCATTGTCCCCATTTCATAGGGACAAGGATTGACCTTGTGATGTTATTGATGTAGGGAACCCCAGAGGAAGCTCCCTCGACCTGATGCCTGCTGGTGCCTCTGGGGGATTTATCTTTTAGAGAGTTATCACCTGCAGCAGGGGAGATGAGCTAGCCAGGGTCACCCAGCCAGGCTGTGTCACAGGCAGAACTGGCTCCATCACATCACGCTGCTCTCTGCCTGTTTCAGTGATCACCGCCATATTAATAACTGACATCTATATAACACCTAAGGGCAGCTAGGTGGCGCCATAGTGCACAGAGCTCCAGGTCTGGAGGAAGACCTGAGTTCAAATTCAGCCTTAGACACTTACTAGCTGTGCGACCCTGGGCAGGTCACTTCACCCTGTTTGCCTCAGTTTCCCCATCTGTAAAATGAGCTGGAGAAGGAAATGGTAAACTACTCCAGTATCTCTACTGAGAAAACCCCAAATGGGGTCACAAAGGGTTAAACATGATTGAAAAAACTGAACAGCACGAAACACCTTAAAGTTTGCAAAGCATTCTAAACACCCTTCCTCCTCTGAGTCTCACAGTAACCCCAGGAGGCTGGTTTAATTATTAGCCCCATTTTTAAAAATATGTAATTATTTTCCCCAATTACATGTTGAAACAATTTTTAAAAACCGTTTTTTAGAGTTTTAAGTTCCTAATGGCCCCATTTTGCATACAAGAAAACTGAGTGTCAGAAAAATGATTTGCTCAGAGTCACACAGCAGGATTTGAACCCGACTTGCTGACCCCAAGGCATTCCACCTATGACGTCTACCTTGTGGCTTATCTCAACATTTCTCTGGGTTCCAAAGCTAGAAGAAAGCTTAGAGATCATATATTATGTTCCCCCTCATTTTAAAGATGGGGCAACTGAGGCTCAGAGAGGGAAAGGGATTTGCCCAGGGTCACACAGGCTGCAGCTTGCAGAGTGGGATTCGAATCCTGGCCATTCAGACTGTCAAACCCCAGCGCTCTGACCGCTCTCCCGTTCTTTGCCTCCTTTCAGACTCTATGTTTCTATCTGTGGAGAATAGCACAAATATAAGAAAGAATTCGATCCGGGAGCATTTTTTAAGCTCTTGCTATCAGGAAGGCTGAGCATGCAAAGACAAAACAAGAAAGCAGCCCCTGCCCTCAAGAAGTTGCTATTCTCCTAGGGGAGAGTTTATACAAATAAATAGAATAGAACCTGAGGAAGGAGAGAGCACTGACACTGGGGGAAATCAGGGAAGGCTTCCTGGAAGAGGTGGCCCCTGAGCTGAGCCGTGAATGAAGTTGAGGATGCTAAGAGGTAGAGATGGGGAAGAGCGCATTCCAGGCACGGGGGACACAGCCTGAGCAAAGGCCCGGAGCAGGAGATGGACCATCAGGTTCAGGGAACAGAAAATAGTCGAGTTCTTTAGTCATAATCTTCCCTCGCCGGGCTGGGTCCCCTGACCACACCCTCTGCTCCTTGTTTGTTCCCCAGACTCTCGGACAGCAACAAGGAGAACACCATCCGTGGTTACACTTCCCAGAAGGGCTCCTTGAAGTCCGACGAGCCACGGCCGGCTGTGGACCTCTTCGGCCAGGGAACCAACCGGAAGGCAGATGGGCAGCGCCAGTCCTTTGACTATGTGGAGCTCTCCCCGCTGACCCAGGGCTCCCCACAGCGCCGTGTGGCGAGCATCCGCGGCTCTGACCGCGGGGCAAAGCAGGATGAGCTAGAGAAAGACCTGGCCCAGCGCTCTGAGGAGCGCCGCAAGTGGTTCGAGGCCACCGACAGCCGGGCTGGTGAGCCCATGGTGGGCGAGGGGCCCCGCAAGGTCCTCGGGGGCCCCCTCACCGATGACCAGCAGAGCCGGCTGAGTGACGAGATCGAGAAGAAGTGGTTGGAGCTGGAGAAGCTGCCTTTGAGGGAGAACAAGCGGGTGCCCCTGGCGGCTCTGCTCACCCAGAGCAAAGGGGAGCAGAAGGGGCCTTCGGGAGACCCCACCGAGGCCCTGGAGAAGGAGGTACGGTGCTCTCTGGCGCCTGGTTCTTTGGGACCAAGGGAGGCTTGAGTCTCCTGGCCTTCCGAGAGCGGCTGGAGAGTATGGACCGTGCTTGATGGTGAATCCCGTCAGCCAGTGGGAGCTTGCTTCTGTCCTGCTCAAGGGCCCCCCAGCACTGACCACCCCGCTCTTCACACAGGTCCAGTCCTTGCGGGCTCAGCTGGAGTCCTGTCGTCTCCGAGGGGACAGTTCCCAGGACACACCCAAACCTCAAGAGGATGGCCATGTCCCCCGGGGCTATATCTCCCAGGTAAAGGGCAGTGGGACTTGAGCAGGGCGTGGATGGCCTCTCGCCCAAGCTCCTCTCTTTCTGGCCCCCAGAAGGGAGCGTAGGTGTTTCCCCATCCCTGTAGTGACAGGAGCCGAGCCAGGGGGACCAGCTGGAGTGGGGGCCTCCTAGCATTTGGGCTAGGGAGGTGGGCAGTCATTTACCCCTGAATCGCATCCCAAGTCACAACAGATCAGTCACCAGATATTTAAAAAGCAACATTTGGTACAAGATTCTGAAATAACAATAACATTACATTTCAGGGTTTTAAAAGCACTTTTCAAATGCCACCCCATTTGATCCTCACAATAGCCTGTCATTCAGGCCTTATCATCCCCATCTTCCAGATAAATAAAACTGAGGTGAAGTGATTCACCCAAGTCCCCATAGCTAGTAAAGCGCTGGGATTTGAACTCTAGTCTCCTGACTCTACTCCCAGCCCTCTGCCACACTGGGAATACAAACACTAACCCACAGTCCTACCTTCATTTAATGTCCTTGAGCCTCAGTTTCCTCATCTGTAAAATGAGGTTTGGAGGTTGAACTAGAGTGATAGAACCACAGATTTAGAGCTGGATTGAATCCTATTGCCCCATTTTACAGATGGAAAAAAAAACTGAGGCTGAGCTCACCAGGGTCACCCAGCTTGTATCATTTGAATTCAGATCTTCCTGACTCCCACATCCATTACCCTTTCCATTATCCCATACTGCCTTCCTAGCTAACTTCAGAGTTCCTTCTGCTCTAAATCTGAGCCGGTGAAGGGGGTGACGTTGAAGGGTCCCTAGCACAGGAGAGTGGTGTTATCAGAGCAGGGAGATTACTTGGGCAGCCCTCCTCTAATTTTCTTCTTCCTGGGAGGTCACCACCATCTTCCTCGTCACCCACCTTTCCAACCAAGTCATCATCCTTGACCCTTCCCAGTCGATCACCCTTCCCCTCCCCACCTCCAAACAGCTATCAGGTCTTGGCAATCCTTCCAGTCCATCCCCTTCTTCCCACTCCTTGCTTCACCCTACTTATTCCCTTTCCCCTGGCCCGTTGTCACCATCGCTTCCTTCCTAATTGGTGTCCCCTGAATCCAGGGTCTCCCTCCTCTACATCGTTCTCCACCTCACTGTCCGATTGATTTTCTATTTTTAAAATATGGAATGGTGAATTTCTGTTACATGCAGCTTCCTTGTAAAATGTTCATTAAGTTTCACAAGGGTAGTAACAAAATAGCTGTCTTTGCATCCCAAAATTGATTTACCTAAAATGCAGATCTGACATGGCACTGTGACTCAGAAACCTTCGCCTGCTAGCGTGTGATTTCTACTACCTTTCCAGCCTTCTCTCATGTCTCTCTGCTTCCATCCACCTGGCCTTCTTGCAATTCCCATTTCCCACCTCATTGCCTTTGTACAAATGGTTTCCCACAGGACTGCCTCCCAAAATCAGTAGCTTCCTTCAAAGTTCAACTCAGCCAGTGGCTCGATCCCTCTACCCCCAGTTATCAGAGCTCTCTCCCACTGAAAGTTACTTTGTATTCCCTTAATACATTGTATCGACCTATTTATGTGTGTGTTTGACTTCCCCCAGTAGAATGGGAGCCCTTTGAGGGCAAGGGCTGTTTGTTTCTGCGTCTGTATCGCCAGGGCTAGCACGGTGCCTAGCATGGAGCAGGCCCTTATAATAAATGCTTGTTGAATTAAATTGAATTGAATTGGAGTAAGTGGGGGGACAAGACTGGAAGTCAGGAAGGTCAGTGAGGAGGCTGCGGCCACAGCGTAGGTGTGGGGTGACCAGACGCTGTGCTGGAGTGGTGCCAGCAGGGATGGGCCAAAAAGCCTGACTGGGTGAGATAGCGTGAGGGCCAGGGTTTGGTAACAGAGAGAGGAAGGGACCAGAGACCACTGGGGTTTGGAGGCTGCGGGATAGGGAGGGGAGACCATTAGCAGGAAGAAGGACATCTGAACCAGGAGCAGGACTGGGGGAAAGCTCAAGAATTTACCTTTTGAGCCGGTGGCTCTCAGCTGGGAGCTACCTCGCCATGGTGAGGCCGGTGCTCAGGGGAGGTGGTGGGCTGGAGCCACGGAGTGTCAGCTTTGGAAGGGGATTCAGTAGCCAGCCGGCCGGCCAGCCCAGTGCACAATGAACAAGCCTCCCTGCTACACTGTACTACAATGGCGAGAGCTTATCTGACTACAGATGGAAGACGTTCACTGCTCTTCTGACGCAGCCGGCTCCACTCAGACACCTCTCATTGCTGGAAAGTTTTTTCTTTCATAGAACCTAAGTCTGTCTCCTTGTACCTTCTACCTGGGGCTCCTTGTTCCAACCTCTGGGGCCAAGAATGCCAAAGCTAATCTTTCTCCTATGACAGTTATCGTGCCCCCCCACCCCATTTTCTCTTCTTCCTCCACCCCCAGATTTTCTTTATTGAACAAATGGGAGTATTTCCTTACACAAAGAACAGAAGAGGAGGCTTGTATGTGAAACTCTGAATCTATTACATATAGATCATTTCTCTTCCCAGGCTAAGTATGCCCGGCTCCTGCAGCTGTTCCTTGTACGACCTCGTCTCCCATCCCCTCACTAGCTCTGCTGCCTGCTCAGGCAGTTTCTCTCTTGTCCCCGGTGTGGACTGGCCAGGGTAGCGGACTCTCCTGGGTCTGGGCCAGACTATCGCTTGCTTTTGTAGACTCTGCAGCCAAGTATTCCATGTATCTCTGACAAGTCCCAGGACCTCTCTGTCTCCTTGGTAGCAGATTACAATTAGAGTCAGTGGAGAAGGCCCTCACACTGACAAAGTCATGGACCCCTTGCATGTTAGCACAAGATGGCCTTGGGCTTTTTGGCAGTTGTCCCACTGGGCAAATGAGATAATAATCTATAAAAGACCCTTAACATAGTAGACCTGTAATATAGTAGGCACTTAATAAATGCTTATTTCCTCTTCCATTCCCCACTGTTGACTCATTGAGGATCCATGGGTCTTTTTCTCAGGCACTAATTTCTAGCTATATTCCAATCCATCAATTAACAAGCATTTTATTAAGCACACATAACCCCCTCCCACTACTTGCGTAGTTCATTTTTTTAACCCAAATGTAGGACTTTTCATTTAAGCATGACATCTCATCTTTTCTCTCTCAGCCTCAGTTTCTGCATTTGTGAAATGGAGATAATAATAGCATCCCCCTCACAGGGTTGACGTGAGGAGGAGAAGAGATGATCCATGGGACGTGCTTTGCAACCCTTAAAGGGCTATTTCAGTGTTAGCTATCATCATCTTATTAGACTCAACTCAAGAGTATGGCCAGCATGATCTTTTTGAATTCTGCTCCCATTATCCAGTTTTACTTATCCCCTTCATCTCTGTCTCTTCCGAAGATTTGATAATTATCAGATTATCAGGTATTCCTCCCTGTGACTTCCTCCAGGTCATCAGACTTGTCTTCATGTTAGTTCTGTATCCCCAATGTTAGCACATAGTAAGTGCTTAATTAACGTCCATTTAATCTTCAGTAAAAATATTGAATGCTGTTCACTGGTACACAAGATTAAAGACCTCTCTCTTTTTTGCAGTCTGGTAAGACCTATGGGTTCCTTCTCAGAACAGTGTTGTGTTTTTTTTAAATGCAGAAAATAAAATACATAGAATTTAAAAGCAATTATATTGAAATACAGTTGTCAGAATATTTTTATTTATTTTTTATCAGCTTAAGTACATTTATTATTTTTTCCTTTTCTTTCTGTTTGCAAGGCAGTTGGGGTTAAGTGACTTGCTCAGGGTCACATAGGTGGTGTCAAGTGTCTGAGGCTGGATTTGAACTCAGGTCCTCCTGACTCCAAGGCCAGAGCTGTATCCACTATGCCACCTAGCTGCCCCTGCCCCCAGAATATTTTTTAAAATAAGTTCCCAGGTAAAGAACTCCTGCTCTGGGTTGACCTCAACTCATTAGTCACCACCCTGAGCTCAGTGAGTCAATCAATATCAAACCTCACTATCCTCCAAACCCCGTCCTTCCATCTTGTACACAAGAGAGGGATTTTATCAGCAGCTTCACTGAAAATCAGGGAAATGCTGCAGGCTCTGGCATAGCTGGGTGTATACTCCCTTGGTGATCCCAACAAAGATGGAAATTGTTTGTCTAGCATCACTCATTCTTAATCAACCCATTCTGGCTTACATATTCCTTTCATTCCAAGCCATCTGTCTAATTAATAATAGTACTAAGGGATGAGGGCTAGACCTGTGATATGACTGGTATGGGGAAGCTCCCTCTACCAGTATGGGTTGGCACGTCTCTGGAACTCACAATCTTAGTTGGCCAGGATATACAGCCAGGAGTTGAACCCAGATCCCCAATCTTAGAGACCAGCGCCATTGACTACATCGTGCTGCTTCTTACTCTTAACCATATCTAATAGTATTAATCCTTCCCATGGTATGTTGCCAAAAAGAGACATCAAGCTCTCCAGCACATATTTTTTTAGCATCCACCTTCTTCCCCTTACCCAGTGACGTCTGCCCTCCTCCAACCCCGAAGTCTTTCTTGGGTTCTCAGACATTCTGGACAGCAACTTGGCGATCACATCCGCCTGTTCTTTCCATGCCCTGGGATGTAGTTCAGTGGGACCAGGTGACTCACCCTGGTGGAGGGCGGCCAGGTGTCCTCTTACCATCTCCTGCTTATCTTGGGTTGAATTCCCTCATTAACCCCTTTTCATTCAGTCCTTTCTGGTCTGAGGATCACTCACCTCAGTGAGAGAAGTTGGAAGTGGAGGGGTGTCATTTGCTCTGTTTTCCACTACTGGTCATCCCATGTACCTCGAGCCATGGTCTTGACCCTTCAGTTGGTCTCTTGCCTCCAACATAGCTTAAATAAGGCCCTTTGGCATCTGTGGAAGCTGTGGGTCAGCCTGGGCTTCTGGCGCCATCCTGATAAGACTCTGGCCCTCTTTCATATTCATTCTTGGTTACAGAGCCTCTGCTACCATTGCTTGCTTATAATCATTTTCAAAATTGATATCTTCTGCTTTACATCAACCTCATTTCTGAATATATTCCCCTACTCTTCTGCACCCAGTGACCCATCTCTTGGAACAAATTTTTTTTTAAAGGAAGACAAAAAAAGTTCAATTAAGACCAACATCGATGTATTGGCATGAGTGGATGTGCCCTGCACTGCCACAAAGAGGGGAGGAGACTGCTGTTGGTGTTATTCAGTTGTGTCCCACTCTTCGTGACCCCATTTGGGTTTTCTTGGCAGAGATACTGGAGTGGTTGGCCATTTCCTTCTCCAGCTCATTTGATAGATGAGGAAACTGAGGCAAACAGGGTGAAGTGACTTGTCCAGGGCGACACAGCTAGGCAGTGTCTGAGGCCAGATTTGAACTCAGCAGAATGAGTCTTTCTGATTCCCAGCACAATGCTCTATTCACTGTTGTTTTCCCAATTCTTTTCCAGATCCAAATTTGGTCATTATGACTAGACAATCTTCAGTTTGGCTTTGCATTCCTTCCGTTTACATTATTGTAATAGAAATTGTACATTACTGTAGTCATTACTTTCCTGATTTATTCTGTATCAGTTCATAGAAATTTCCCCATGCCTTTCTGAAATCTTTCTCTTCGCTATTTCTTGTGGTACAGTAATATTCCATGATGTTCATGTATCACGTTTAGCTGAGCCACAATTGACATGCACCAATTATTCTATTACTAATTCTCCACCATCACAAAAAGTGCCGCCATGAATATATTGATGTAAATGGGACCTCTGTTTCTGTCTCTTCTCTCGTTGTGATACGTGTCTAACAATGAACTCTGTGGCTCAAAGAGCATGATTTTTAAGTTACTTTCTTAGTGTAATTCAAAATTGCTTTCCTAGAGGGTAGGATCCCTTTCACAATTCCATCAATGTTCCTGTTTTTTCAAAGTCCCTTCAACATTTGCTATTTTCTTTTGTTGTCAGAATTGCTCAGTTTCCTGGATATGAGTTGAACCTCAGAGTTCTTTAACATGTTCTTTAACATCTCTCAGGATTCGTAATTTGGAACATTCTTTCATATGGTTATTGAGGCTTCTTGGGAAGTATTGGCTCATATCCTTTGATCGCTTACCTATTAGAGAATTTTTCTTCTTTTATACTTGTATCATTTTCTTATGTATCTTGGATAATAAATCTTTATCAGTGATATTTGATACAAAAATTTTTCCAAGTTAACTGTTTCTCATCTTGTTCTAGCTGCATGGACTTTATGCTTGGGGCGGGGAGCCCTTCAATTTCATGTAATCAAAATTTGGATATCTCTAATTCTTTTTTTGGGGGGGAAGGACTATTATTTGTTTGTAACATTCATTTTAAAAAATTTTTTGGTTCCAGATTCTCTCCCTCTCTCCAGCCCCACCCACTGAGAAGGCAAGCAATATGATATCAATTATGCATGTGAAGTCATGCAGAATGTATTTCCGTATGAGCCATGTTGCTAAAAAAAATGGGGAAAGTGAAAAAATATGCTTCAGTCTGTACTCAGAGTTCATCAGTTCTGTCTCTGCATTTCAATAGCATTTTCCATCCTGAGTGATTTGGAATTGTCTTGGATCATTGTATTGATTAGAGGAGCTAAGTCTTTCACAGTTGATCATTGTTACAATATAGACATCTCTAATTCAATGTGTCCAAGATAGAGCTCCTTCCCCCTTACCACTCCAACCTGGTATTTCTCCATACTTCCTTGTTCCTTGTGAGAGCACCATCTTTCTAGTCACCCAGGAGTCATCCTATGAAAGACATTTCTTCTCCCTTACTCACTCCATCCTATCCATTCCCATATCTTATTCATTCTGCCTTCATAGCATCTGTAGTATCCATCCCTTCTCCGCTGTCATCAGAACCAATGACCTTTTTCTTCCTTCACCATCTCTTGCCCACACTCTTGCAACAGACTCCTAGTTTGTGCTTCCAGCTTCCATTTTCACCCACCTTGCCAATCCATCCTCCAGTTGTACCTTGAGTACAACATTCCATCCCGTATCCTGGTCCATTTGCACAGACTGTTCTATAAGCTTCTAAGGGGACATGACAGATATAAAAAATATTTTATAAAATGTGAACTATGTAGAAAGATGTTGTAAAAATCAAGATTTCATACTGTTTTTATTAAGAATAATTTGTATCTATTTCTAAATTGTAAACAGTGAGGAGCTATTTATAAAATAACAGTTGATGTAAATTGTAAGCTGTATATAACTAGTAAACTGTATAAATTGAGCATTTGTTGCAGGTATGTATTACACAACAAATGCAGACCCTCCTTACCTCTCCCTCTCAGAATCCTAATCTACCTGTTTCTAAAAAACCCAGAGGGTCATTTACCAGCCTCAGCTAAGGAGAGCTGTCTCTTCCCTGCCCCTCAATGACCATTCTGCTCCGGTTCCTGCAGGAAGCATGTGAGCGAAGCCTAGCAGAGATGGAGTCATCCCACCAGCAGGTGATGGAGGAGCTGCAGCGGCATCACCAGCGGGAATTGGAGCGGCTGCAACAGGAAAAGGAGTGGCTTTTGGCAGAGGAGACGGCAGCCACAGCCTCTGGTGAGCCCCCCTCCTCAGCCTTTCCTACCCTTCCCAGCCCTGGATGGGAAACCTAGTGAAAGCTTGGGGACTGAAGGGAGTTCTTATCTATAGACTATCAGAGTGGGGAGGGGACCTCAGAGACATCATCTGGTCTAAGACCCTAATTAGACAGGTGGGGAAACTGAGGCGGAGAAGTTAAGTGACTTTGCCTAAGATGAGGCAGTGAGGGGCAGAACCAAGGGTACTTCATGTTCCCCATCTTGCCCCTCTCTGCTCATTGAACTAGAAGGAATATGAAGCTATCATGGAGACCAGCTCCCTCATTCTCCAGAGGGAGAAATCACAGGTTCATACATCTATAGGGAAAAGGACCTTAGGGCTACCTCGTCCAGTCCCCTCATATCACAGCAGAGGAAACTGAGGCTTGCAGAAGGTCAGTTACTTACAGGATCATAGAGTTAGAGTTGGAAGGGACCACAGAGGGTAGAGTCCAACCTTCTTATTTTTCCATTTGAGGAAACTGAAGCCCAAGAAGCTTGTGACCAAAAAGCCTTCCTCTGAATGGCTTGACACATTTTTTTTCTTAATATAATTCTTTTTTAAAATTATTTAGTATTTTGTTTTCCTCCAATTACACATAATAACAATTTCTAGCATTCGTTTGACACATTTTCAAAGGAAGGTGGGCTTGGGGCCTATGTGGTCCTAAGAGCTGCGCTTGCCCTCCCCACTCTTCTCCAACAGCCATAGAAGCCATGAAGAAAGCCTTTAAGGAAGAGCTAAACAAGGAACTGGGAAAAACACGGAGTCTTCAGCAAGGTCCAGAGAGCCTCCGGAAACAGCACCAGTAAGAGGATGCCCGTACCCAAGTGGGGTCCATTGGGCGGCCCAACTGGCTGCCCTTTCTGAGTCAGCTAAGCAGGGGTGGGCTGGTGAACATTTAACATCGGCTCTCTGAGAGGGAGAATTAGGCAGAAGACACACTTCTGAGTTCAATCTGGATGATTCAAATTTTCCCCCATCCTTTTTTTAAGTCTTGGCTGTAGGCAATCAACCGATAAATTCAGCCCTGATTTGTAGGATTTGCTGATTTCTGAGGTGCAGACACGTACCCTGAAAATTTAACCATTGGCTGTTTTGAGCCAACGCAAAACCTTGCACTAAGTCAGTACTAGCCATCCCCTTCCCCATCTTCATAGAATCGTCATCCCAGCCTTTCTCTCCCTTACCCTGGGGATTTCGCCCAGCCCTGAGTGTGTTTTAACCTCCCGACCTTAACATTCCCCAAATTTGCTACATATGGGTATTTACAGTGGCAAATAGCTGCAATATCACACTTCACCAGTAGATGCCTGTACCCAACATGGATGCATAGATTCATAGAATGTCAGAGCTGGGAGGGGCCTTAGAACAGGGGATGTCAGAGCTGGGAGGGGCCTTAGAAAAGGGTATGTCAGAGCTGGGAGGGGCCTTAGAACAGGGGATGTCAGAGCTGGGAGGGATCTAAGAACATGAACTAATCCAAAGGTCCTTAACCCTTTGTGTGCATCCTGGCCCCGTCTCTCTCTGGTGAAATCCATCCACCTCTTCTCTGATTAATGTTTTTAAAAGCATAAAATAAAGTACAGAGTTTACAAAGGAAACCAATCCTATTGAACTATAATTAACAAAATATTTTTAAGAATGGGTTCATGGGAGGAAACGGGTTCAGCAGGGCAATGATTTGCTTTTAGATGTGGTTAGAGCCTCAGTTTCCCAGTTATTTCTATGTTATCTCTCTTTCTTGACGCCTGCCCCTGGCTTGTGGTTCTGTGAATGCCTTGGACTTCATGGAAGCTGGGCCTGGGGAAGGAAGTGCCCCTCGGGTGTCCTGCCTGACCACCTCCCCAGTCTCATGAAACACTTCTCTTCCTCCTAGGCCTCTGAGCCCTGACCACCTGCGAGAGGCGGGAGCTTTGGGGCAGAGGGCTGGGCTGGTCAGAGGTGGGATGTGACTCAGGCACACTCTCTCTCTGTCTCTCTCTGTCTCCTCCTTGCCCTTTCTCCCCGGACACAAGGTCTGACGTGGATTCTCTGAAGCGAGAATTACAGGTCCTCTCCGAGCAGTACTCCCAAAAGTGCTTAGAGATCGGAGATCTGACCCGCCAGGCCGAGGAACGGGAACGCATTTTGCGGCACTGCCAGCAGGAAGGCAAGGGGCTCCTGAGGCAGAACCAGGTAGGAGTCCCAGGGCAGGGGGTAGATGCACGCTTGGAGGGGCGTCCCAGCACAGAGGAGGGGGCAGGCACACAGAGGGGCGTCCCAGCGCGGAGGAGGGGGCGGGCACACAGTGGGGCGTCCCAGCGCAGAGGAGAGGGCGGGCACACGGAGGGGCATCCCAGCGCGGAGGAGGGGGCGGGCACACAGAGGGGCATCCCAGCATCGAGCCCATCCCCACACCAGGTCTCCAGAAGTCCTGGCCTCTTGTGAGAAAATCCCCCAGGCAAGGGGGAGATGGAGCTCAGCCCTAGGAGATCCCTGCCCAGTGTCTCCCTGGGCATCCTTTCCACGTCCTCAGCCGCTGCAGACTCTGTGTCCCCACGGTCCAGGGGAAAGAGCAGACCTGCCTCTGTCCCTTACTACCTGTGTGGCCCTGAGCAAGTCACTCACCCTCCCTGTGCCTCAGTTTCCCCTGCTATTAAATGAAGGGGTTGGACTAGAGGACCCTGGAGGCCCCTTCTGGCTCCAACGCTCTGATCCTGTGCTTGCCAGGAGCTTCACTCACGCCTGTCAGAAGAGATCGGCCGACTGAGAAACTTCATCGCCTCCCAGGCCTCGAGTGAAGGCCTAGCACGCACCAATGAGAGGAGCTCCTGTGAACTGGAGGTGAGACATGTTCCCCTACCCCCGACCCTCACCCCACCCCCCAGCTGCTACAGTGAGGGGAAAGAGCCCTGGGGCCCAGGCTGGTTTTGGAGAAAAGGCAATCAATAGCACTTTTGTTCAATGTGCATTTATTAAACACCTACTGTATACCGAGATGACCTTGGGCAAGTAATTTCACCTCTTTGGCCTCAGTTTGTTCATCTGTAAAAGAGGGGGTTGGATTAGAAGACTGCAGAGTGCTCTTCCATCTTTAAACCCAAGGATCCTGGGAATCACATACTTCTCTACTCGGGTGACCCTGGAACCTCCCAGATGTGTTCATGCCCTTCCTTTGTGGATCTGGACAGCGTCCTATTAGCGTTGCCTGAAATTGATTGAGAAATCCAATCAATATGTGCTTATCATAATTATTAGTAGTGAATGTTAAAATAATAATCACCACCAGCATTTGTCCAGCACTTTAAATGGGATTGAATTCCTGCCTCAATTTACCTTTGTGGCCTTGGGCACCTTTTCCTTTCAGGGCCCCAGTTTCCTTGAACTTAGATGGCCCTGTGAACACTGGGGACTTTATATGCATTAAGTTCTATTATCATCCCTATTTTTTTTTTTTGGTAAGGCAATTAGAGTTAAGTGACTTGCCCACAGCTAGTAAGTGTTAAGTGTTTGGTCTGAGGCCGATTTGAACTCAGGTTTTCCTGACATCAGGGCTGGTGCTCTATCCACTGTGCCACCTAGCTGCCCTTATCACCCCTATTTTTAACAGAGGTGACTTGCCCAGGCTCGCACATAATCAAGAAAGGGGGAGTCAAGGTCTGCCATGTTCCCAGGCTTGTGCTAGGCACAGGAAGGGAAAAAGAAGCAGCAAATCATGGATCTGGAGTTCCAGGGGCCTTCAAGATTAATCAACAAGCATTTATTAGGCACCTACTGTGTGCCAGGCACTGAGCTAGATGCTGGAGACCCACAGAACAACACAGTCCCTACTCTCGTAAATCACCTGGAATCCCCAGCTGGGGAATTGTTCCTGGGCCTGCAAAGGGCTTACAGGAACACCTTGGGGAAACGGGATGTCATCATGCTCAGAGCAGCTGACATTGCTCTAGCACCTGCATTACATACCAGAGCTGGAGGGGCCCACAGAGGCCCCTCATTTTACAGAGGAGGAAACTGAGGCTTGAGGAGGTCACAGGATCCTAGATCTGGAAGGGATGGGGTGGGGGGTGCCTCTAGTCCATCATCATTACTGATGGTGATAGCTAGCATTTACAGATTGATTTCAGGTTTGCAAATACTATCTCACTTGATCTTCACGACAACCCTGGAAGAGAGGTACTCTCGTTATCTCCATTTTACACAGTAGGAAACTGAGGCAGCGGCAAAAACATTGGTCCAGGATCATGCCACTAGTTAGTGTCTGAGGCAGGATTCAAACTCTGGCCATGCTGACCTACAAATTAATTAAAACAGATAACAAGGAAGAAGGGAGAGAACAGAGGAGAGAAAGAGAGAGGGGGGGAGGGGGGAGAGAGACAGAGACAGAGAGAGGAGAGAGAGAGAGAGAGAGAGAGAGAGAGAGAGAAAGGACAGGAAAGAAGAGAGGGCAGAGACAGAGAGACAGTGAGAAACAGAGAGAGAGGAGGGAGGAGAGAGACAGAAGAGAGGGAGAGGGGGAGAAAGAGAGAGAGGGAAGGGGGGAAAGAGACAGAGAGAGGAGGGGGAGAGAGACAGTGAGAGAGAATATGAGAATATTATTAGGTCTTCAATCACTCGGCATAGTCTGCCAGAACAGGGCCTCACCCTTGAGTGGATCCCTAGGAAGTAGCCCTGGCCTCAAGCCCTGGCTTTGGGGTCAGAGAACCTGGGCTTGAGCTACTGAACTGGCATGCGTGAGGCTCAGAGTCTGCTGGGAGAGACAGCATGTAAGCAGGGGGGTGTATGTAAACAGAGAAGAAAATACAGCACAGAAGGGAGGCAGAGTCCCCACCCTGTCCTCTGAGTGACATTTAGCAGATCCCTCCCTTCTCTAGGCCTCAGTTTCCTGGTCTGTAAAATCAGATGGGGACTGGGCCAGATGGCCTCTGAGGCCTCTTGCAGCTCTAAATCTTGGGGTCCTGTGAGTCAGAGAAGGGGGAGGTGGGGGTGACAACCTTCCCCGTGGTGGCGTCGAGGATTTTGTCAGGTCAAGCACTGAAGACGTCTGGGTGGGCTTTCAGGAGGACTGAGATGGGAATGAGCATCCTCCCAGGGGTAGTAGTGACTATGGAGAGACCTGGGTTTGAATCCTGCTTAAGCTATGTGATCTCAGGTAAATCCCTTTACTCTCAAGCCTCAGTTTCTAATCTATAAAATGGCAGAATAACAATTTTTTTTAAGAAATAGATTTTATTCATGATTTTTTGTCCTTACAGCAGTCATTTTGGGGGAGGGGGGCAGGGAAGGGCAGGGGGATAAGCCTTTCTCTCCTCCTGGTCAAACTCACCTTTGTAACAACAAAAAACAATTGGGGGAAATGGAATCATAATACTTTTCACCATCTACTTCACAGGTTTGTTGTAAGGAAAAATCATTTTGCAAACCTGAAAGTGTGATTAAAATGTCTTGGCATTCATAGACAGGGCCACGCCACTAGTTAGTATCTGAGGCACGATTCAAACTCTGGCCGTGCAGACCTACAAATTAAAACAGATGACAAGGAGAAAGGAGGAGAGAGAGAAGAACGGAAGAGAGGAGGGAGGAGAGACAGTGAGAAACAGAGAGAGGAGGGGGCAGGGAGACAGTGAGAAGCAGAGAGAGAGGAAGGAGGAGAGAGATAGTGAGAAACAGAGAGAGGAGGGGGAGAGATAGTGAGAAACAGAGAGAGAGGAGAGGGGAGAGATAGTGAGAAACAGAGAGAGGAGGGGGGAGAGAGTGAGAAACAGAGAGAGGAGGGGGGAGAGATAGTGAGAAACAGAGAGGAGGGGGAGAGATAGTGAGAAACAGAGAGAGGAGGGGGGAGAGACAGTGAGAAACAGAGAGAGGAGGGGTCAGAGAGACAGTGAGAAGCAGAGAGAGAGGAAGGAGGAGAGAGATAGTGAGTAACAGAGAGAGAGGAGAGGGGAGAGATAGTGAGAAACAGAGAGAGGAGGGGGCAGAGAGACAGTGAGAAGCAGAGAGAGAGGACGGAGGAGAGACAGAAACAGAGAGAGGAGAGGGGAGAGATAGTGAGAAACAGAGAGAGAGGAAGGAGGAGAGAGATAGTGAGAAACAGAGAGAGAGGAGAGGGGAGAGATAGTGAGAAACAGAGAGAGGAGGGGGGAGAGATAGTGAGAAACAGTGAGAGAGGAGGGAGGAGAGGAGAGAGACAGTGAGAAACAGAGAGAATATGAGAATATTAGGTGATTTTTTTGTGTGGTTTTTTTTTTTGCAAACCTGAAAATGTGATAAAGTGTCTTGGCATTCATAGACCTACGACAGGACTGATGGGGAGGGGAGGCAAGAGTATGGGGAGAGTGCTTAGAACCACGAAGGCCAGGCAGAGATCAGACATGCCATGCTGCAGGGCACTGCCAGAGATGTGTGTTAGCTGAGGGGCATCGCCCTGCTCCCCAAGCCTGGGAAGCCTCTTGGCCGTCCCCCAGAGCCACGTGGTCAGAGCTGCCCCCTCTCTCTTCAGATGCTGCTCCGGGTGAAGGAGAATGAGCTACAGTACCTGAAGAAGGAAGTTCAGTGTCTCCGGGACGAGCTGCAGATGATACAGAAGGTGGGGCCTCTGGCAGGAGCCCATGGGCTCTGGGGTTGGGGGGCTTCAGAGCCAGCCCGGGTGAGGACACTGCTGGGCAGGGCGAGGGAGGGCTGGGAATCCTTCGTCCCACCCCCAACACCCCGGCCCAGTACACAAGACACCTCCCTGTCTGGCAAAGACATCCTTGGAACATCTGCTTGAGACACCCTTTCCTGCCAGAGACGCCTGTGAATACCCCTTCATCTGTGTGGATGTGAGGTGCTCCGTGTGTGTGTTGTGGGAGGTCAGTGAGTATGGGTGTGGGCGGGCAGAGTGTGTTACTGGGTATGGGGAGGGTGTGTTGTGTTGGGGTGTTTAGTAGAATGTCAGAGCACAGTGGGCCCCAACCACATCCTTGGAGGGCAGCAGGGAGCTGGCCTGCACTCAGAGCTGAGCCCCCAATCACCCTGGCTCCTCACGGTGTCTGGTGTGGAAATGACCGCGGACGATCAGGTTTCTTGATCTGCTGGTAGGGACCGGGAGAGTACCCCGAACCCTCCCCTCCGCCTTGGGTGCCTTCAGGCCTGCTTCCAGCCTGGCCTGGCAGCTGTGGGGGGTGCCCTGAGTAACTCCGGAGGGTCAAACCTATACGGAAGAGAGAAAGCAGCCCTCAGCTAGGGCAGGGAAAATCCCAGCCATTTTGCTTGTCCCAAAACATCCTCAGGGGCAGAGGGCAGGGGTCAGGGTGGGGCTGCAGGGATTCAGGGCCACAGACCTTGAGTCTGAGGCCAGCCAGGCTCCACATGCCCAATACACTAGACCAGCATCCCCTGTGGTAGACTGGAGGTCCGCCAACATTTTGTTCTCAGGACTCTAAGCTCTTAAAAATTGCTGAGAACCCTGGGGTAGCTAGGTGGTACAGTGGATAGAGCATCAGCCCTGGAGTCAGGAGAACCTGAGTTCAAATCCAGCCTCAGACACTTAGTAGCTAGCTATGTGGCCCTGGGCAAGTCACTTAACCCCAATTGCCTCCAAAATTTTTTTAAAAAGGAAATTTAAAAAAATTACTGAGAACCTCCCTGCCCCAACCCAGAGAGCTTTGGTGTATCTATCTTGTATCTATCAGTATTTGCTGTATTCAAAATGAAAACGTCTTTGTATTATGAAGTAATCTGGCTTTATAGGATGAATACAGTTTTGGTCTTGGGGGCTCCCAAGGTCCCCAGGTCACCCTTTGAGAACTGCTGTGTTGGAGGAGAATGGGGAGAGTTAAGCAACTGAAGATGATAACAATCACAAGTCTAGACCTGGAAGACACCTCGAAACCATCTGGTCCAAATCCCTTAACTTTATGGAGGAGGAAACTAAGGCACAGAGACAAGAAGTGACTTGGCCAGGATCACCTAGGCAGGATTTGAACCCAGGTCCTCAGAGCTCTTTCCAGGCCACTACAGTCCTCTGAAAGCAGGCGCTGGCTTAGACGTGGCCCTCACCTGCATCCTTGCTTCTGCGGCCACATCCAGGCTCACGTCACCAGCAGTGGGAGGGTTTGAGACCAGCTACTTCCTTCTTCCCAAGAAGAGGCTTCCTGTCTCTCCCAGAGTCTGGGCCAGCAAAGAGAGGCCTGGGGTTGGGGAGAGAGCCTTCTAGAGACCCGAAGGAGAAGGGCCTGGATTCAGATCTTGACTCTGGGGCTTACCTTCTTTGGGACCTTAGGCAAATCACTTAATCTCTGTGGGCCATATTTTTCTATTCTATAAAAGTTGGAGGCTGGACTAGATGTCCTCTAAAGCCCCTCCCAGCTCTGACATTCCCTGTTCTAAGCTCCCTCCCAGCTCTGACATTCCCTGTTCTAAGCTCCCTCCCAGCTCTCACATTCCCTATTCTAAGCTCTCTCCCAGCTCTCACATTCCCTGTTCTGAGGCGACTTCCAGCCCTAACTGATTCATTCTTTCAGCAAACACTGACTCTACCCTCACTGTGCCTTGAGCTAGAGGAGCTACCAAGTTTAGATGACACACCACAGTCCCTGCTGTCCTGGCACATGGACAGCCTGCATTATTTAATCTCAAATGATCAGAGGTTAGAGAGTGACAACCAAAGTGTTAACACGAAGTTCAAAGGGGAAGGTCATCCTGACTAGAGCAATCAGGGAGGCTGCCTGGAGGAGGTGATATGGCTGAGAATTCAGCCAGGGAAGTTGAAGGAGGGGCCATTTCTGTCTGTAGGAGTAGGAGAAGCAAGCCAAGAACAGTATGTCCTACCCAGAGAGGGGCTAAGATGATTGACTGGTGTCAAGGTTGCAGAAGGCTTTGAATGCCAGACAGAGGAGTTAGAACTTGCCTTGCGAGGCTGTTGTGGGCCCAGCCAAGCACTCTCACAGGCTTTAACCTCAGGACACGTCCATCCCATGGACCCCACGCTGGGCCTCTGCCCCGTTCTTCAACACCTGGTCTATAGGAAGACCTAAATGAGCCCTCAGGAGGCTTTCCCTCTCTTTGCTGTCTGGGCAGGATAAGCGCTTCGCCTCAGGGAAGTACCAGGATGTCTATGTGGAGCTAAACCACATCAAGTCGCGGTCAGAGCGGGAGATTGAGCAGCTGAAGGAGCACCTGCGTCTGGCCATGGCTGCCCTTCGGGAAAAGGAGTCGATGCGAAACAATCTGGACAACTAGCGGTGAGCTGGGGGCTGGGCAGGGAGCACAAGGAGGGTGCCACGGGACAGGCTCCAGGCTGCCTCGGACAAGGAGCTCCCAGGGGAGAAATCCCTGCCCTCAGTGCGCTTACATTCTAGCAGGGGAGACAACTCATACAAGACATAGAGTAGATGGAAGGGAATCTTGGTGGGGAAGGGGAGCTGGGAAAGTCCTCCAGAAGGTGGGACTGGAGCTGAGTTCCAAAGGAGTCTTAGGGATTCAAAGAGACAGAGTTGAGGGGAGAAAGTGCTCCAGGCATGGGGGACAGCCTGGACAAAAGCTCAGAGAGTGGAGATGGAGCACTGGCTGTGAGGAATAGCAATACTGATGATGACAAACGGCTTCTAATATACTCATTAGATTGTAAGCACCTGGAGGGCAGGGACTGTCTTGCCTCATCCCCAGTGCTTAGCACGGTTCCTGGCATATAGTAGGCACTTAGTAAATGTTTATTGAGTAATTGATGGATGTGCTGCTTTATGGCCCTGAGCAAGTTGCTGCCTTTCTGGGCCTCGGTTTCCCTTTCTGTAAGATGATTGATCTGTAAGGGTTTTTCAAGATGTCATTCCTCCAAACCACCCCTTCCAGGCAGGCAGGGGAGTAATTATTATGCCTGTTTAATAGAAGAGGAAAGAGTGGAGAACTAGAACACAGGAGAGCCCAGTCTGAGCCTACCCTTTGCTGTGTGACTTTAGGGAAGCTGCTTACCCTTTCTGCATTTTGGGTTCCTTCTTTGCCAAATGAAGGTGGACTAGTGTCCCCGCCGCTCAAGGCACCTGCTCGGGTCAGGTCCCTTCTAATTTCTTGCCTCTTGTCTTCTAGGTTTTGGTCACTCCATCCCCTGTTGGATTTGTCCAGCAGAAGGGAGACGTGGTCTCCCCACGCCCGAGGAGACCAGAAGCCAAGCTTTCTCACCACGCCTTCATGGGCAGCGCTCTCTCTCTCTCTCACACACACACACACACACACACACACACACACACACACACACACGCACACAAACACACATCCTCTGCAGATCTGAGCGCGCCCTTCACACTGGGTCTTAACTTGCACCTTCTTTGGGATTTTATATGTGAAAAGATTTTTATATAGATTTTTTTCCTCCCCACCCCCCAAAGAAAAAAAACACTTTATGCCCGGTTTTTTTTTTGTTTTTTAAGAATGCCTAGGACTGAGTGGGTGCTCTCCTGCCCCCACACCCCCAAGCCAGCAGCCTCAGCGGGGTCCTGGGGCTCAGTCTGGAAGAGGAGGATGTAGCTTTTCCATCCCCTCCCCCTGCCCCGCCCCCCACTCCTTCACTGCTTGCTGGCTCTGGGCCCTTTCCCAAGCTGAGGCTGCCTGCCCTTCCTGCCTGGGGCCTGTGGATGGGTGGATGGACAGACGGACATAGGGAGGGAGGAGCACGGGACCTGCCACTCTCAAGTCCTGAGCCGGACTGTGGGAGCCAAACAGTGAAGTCGGGGTGCCTGCTCTGCACAGCAAAACTCTTAACTTAATAAAACATCCTAGTTAGCTCTGGGTCCTTGATCCCTGGGAGGGGAGAGGGAGTGGCCTTTCTGCCCCTATGCATTCTGGTGACAGGATCAGAGATTTGGAGCTAGAAGGGACCTTAGAAGCCTTCTGACCTGTTTGACAGATGAGGAAACTGAGGCCAGAATCACACAGCTAGTTAGTATTGGAAATGGGATCTTAGTGATGGATTTCCTCCTCCCGTTTTTCAGATGGGCAGATTGATCCTCAGAGAGGTCATGGATCACACAAAGTATCATTTGGCGTTTTAGAAAATTTATGTTTTAAGTTTTTGTCAAGAGAGTCTAGGGATTTTGGTTTTGCTTTATTCTTATGTCACAGTTCCAGGTGCAGACCTCCCCGGTAAGTGCAGCAATTCAGTCAAAACTGATGACGTCTGCTGGGTCGGACAGCAGCGGCTGTCCCACACGGCCCCGTACTCCCCCACCTCTCCAGCAGGTTCCCCCTCAAAAGTCCAGTTCTCCCCGATTGACCCAAGAAATATTTCCGGGCCCGACATCGGGAGGGTTAGAAAGCAGACTAACCCTCTGGCACCACGCACGGTGGAGTTTACAGTCTCGTAAGCTGGGGCCGTGGAGAACTGTAACGCACATTGGACTGTCCGTTCATCAGAAAAGTACACAAAGGAGGGAGAGATCCATTTGGGCCGGGCAGATGTCAAAGAAGCCATTACCTCTGTTGGGATTGAGGGTGGTATAAGCAAAGTCATGGGCTGATAGATGAGGGCTAGATCATATCTACGGAGCTCAGAGGGACCTCGGAATCCAACTCCTTCATTTATACCTAAGAAACAAGCCCAGAGAGCTGGGTCACCAGAGTCAAATGGGAAGGCAGGATTGGAATCCAGCTCCTGCCCCGTGGAGATGGGAAAGGATTGGATGAGCCCCATAATAACTCATTAAATATTTATTAAGCACCTATTGTGTGCTAGGCAATGGGACCAAAATTAATTCAGAGAATGGGGAATCTACCTGGAGCTAAGAAAATAATAATCAGTTATTATTGATATAGAGGTAGCTAAATGGTGCAAAGTAGATAGGGCTTTGAATCAGGAAGACTCGTTCTCATGAGTTCAAATCTAGCCTCAGACCTTTCCTAGCCATGTGACCCTGAGCAAGTCACTTCACTCTGCTTGCCTCAGTTTCCTCATCTGTAAAATGAGCTGGAGAAGGAAATGGCAAACCCCTCCAGTATCTTTGCCAAGAAACCCCAAATGGGGTCATGGAAACTCAAAACGCAACAACATAGACCAAAAATATCGGTAATCGTGTTCAATAATATGGCCCTTTAATGTTTCGAAATCCTTTACAAATAGGTGCAGCTAGGAGGCGCAGTGGACAGAGCTCTGGCCTTGGAGTCAGGAGGATGTGAGTTCAAATCCAGTCTCAGCCACATGACACTAGCTGTGTGTGACCTTGGGCAAGTCACTTAACCTCATTTGCCTCGCAAAAAGAGAAATCCTTTACAAATATTTCATTTGATGCCCACAACAACCCTGGGAGGCGGGTACTGTCATTCCCATATTACAGTCAGGGAAACTAAGATTAAGTGACTTGCTCAAGGTCACACGGCTAGTATCTGAGGTCAGGTTTGAACTCGTCTTCCTGACCCCCAAGTCCAGTGCTCTGTCCATGGTGCCACTTAGCTGCCTGTGAATGGGGGCAATAAGTGAGAATACTGGAGCCAGAAACGGAGAGCCTTGAATGCCGGGCTGAGGAGGCTGGACCTTAGTTGGTAGGCAATAGGGAGCTTTGGAAGGTTCAAGACCAAAGGAGTGATGTGCAGATTGAAAGGCTGATGATGGTCCAGGTGACTTAGGGCGGGGACTGGGGGACGAGAGAGAAGAGATGGTTGTTGCTGAGGTAGCATTGACAGGCCTTGGTGATCACTCGAGGCCGGTGGGGACGAGAGCTGACTTTAAGATGTCTCAGGTTACCAAGACTGAGGTCATGGAACGTCACTGTAGAAGCTCGGGGTTGGAAGAGATCCTGGCATTGGTCAACGCCTCTCCTTCTCGGAGCTTGGATCCACTCTGTGACAAATGGCCATCCAGCCTCCACTCCAAGACCATCGGTAACAGGCAACTCACTACCTGTTGAGGCAGCCCAGCCCCCTTTGGGGCATGGTTAGCTAGGCTTTTTCCTTGATATTCAACATCTTAGGAACTTCCCCCAGTTCTGCCCTCAGAGCCAGGCAAGGCAAGGCTGATCCTGGTTTGCACTGCTCTAAGCTGTCTCATTCCCTTAGGAGTCCTCCAGTGCCGTCATCTACCTCTCATTGGGGGTCCCTTCCTTGTGCTGATAGCTCTCCTCTGGAACTGCTCGGGTTTGTCAGTGTCCGCCCTCAAATGTGGCAGTCCTAGTTATCCAGGTGCTCTCGATGAAGGCGGGGGGCAGGAGGAGCAGAGGCTGAGAGCCCAAAGGGACCTTAGGGGAAACTGAGGCTTAGAAGCCTGTTCAAGGCCATGTGAGCATTAAATGGCCAAGCCAGGGTTTGACCCTAGGGCCTTTGACTCCAAATCCAGTGCTCTCAGCTCCTGTGCTGGGATTTCTTTGGCTCAGTCATCAAGCAATCCACAAGCCACCTGGGGAAAGGGAGAGATCCAGGGCTGAGACAGGGGATGACGAAAGAAGGCAAAGAGCAATGAACTGGGAGGGGGCTGAGAACAGGGCATGTCAGGGCTGGGAGGGGGCTAAGAACAGGGGATGTCAAAGCTAAGAGGGACCTGAGAACATGGACTGTCCTTTCTAAGAAACATAGACTATAAAATGTAAGAACTGGGAGGGCACCTATCAAGTTCAAATCTCATGTGAGCCTCCTCCCTCCCCTCCCCATTTTGTTGAGAAGGAAACTGAGTCCTGGGGAGGTGAAATGAGCTTGCCTCAGCTCAGAATCACAAAGTCTGGATTCCAGTCTAAGCTCTGATGCTCCCTGGCTGTGTGACTGTGGGCAGGTCCCTTGAGGTCTCAGCCTCTCCTTCCTTCCTCCTTCTGTAAAGCAGAGTTAACTGCCTTTGTTCAGTGTCCCCCATGGAGCTGCTGCCAGTCAATAAGCATTTATTGAGCACTTACTGTATACCAGGCACTGTGCTGAGCTCTGGGGATGCAAAGAAAGGCAAAAGACAGCCTTTTGTACAACTGCAGGTGCTGCAGGGTCCCACATCTCTGAGCTATTGTGCAGTCAGAAGACCTGGGTTCAAATCCTGGTTCAGCTGCTTCCTATCCAGATGTGGCAAACCACTTCTCGCCAGAGGCAGATAGTTGAGCAATGAGTGGATAGATCAATGGGCCTGGAGTTAGGAAGACCCGAGTTCAAATCCAGCCTCAGACTCTTCCTGGCACGATGACCCTGGGTTAATCTCTGCCTCGATTTCCTCAACTGTAAAATGGGGCTAGTAATAGCACCTACCTCCCAGGGTTGTTATAAGGATCAAATGAGGTAATATTTGTGCTACAGAAATATTTATTCTCTTCCCCTTCTAAGCCTCACTTTCTTCATCAAGCCAGGCATATTATCGCAAGGAAAAGAATGTTGACTTTGTAATCAAAGTCCCGCCTCTGCCAGTTACTACCTGAGCAGCTCAGGCAAGCCCCTTAGACTCTCTGTACCTCAGTTTCTCCATCTTTAAAATGGGATCTTTGGGCCATATCAGGAGTTCTCAACCTTTTCTGCCTGGCGAAGCCCAAGGGGCCTTCTTGGGGTCATGTTTTCAGTGCATGCCCTGAGATACATTGGAGGACAAAGGAAACCAGAGGTTAGTGACAATAAAGATGTGACTGGTTTTACCGAGATCCTTCAGGGCCCCTGGCTAGGAAGCCCTAGAGGACGTCCTCTCAGCTCTCACCTGTTCTGCGCTGGAACTAATTAGGAGATGCCCTTGGTGGGGCAGCCGCTGCCTCTATCATCCGTTTTCCTTAATTGATCTGGGCCAAAGCGAATTGTTTAACGTGCATCCTCCAGGTAACTGGCTCATTTCTCCCTTTCCCTGGCCAGAGAGCTGGTCTGAGGAGTCAGGGAGCTCTGGCAGCTTGGGGAAAGAGGCTGCTTGGGGGGAGGGATTGTTCTTGAGCCTCAAAGTGCCCTAGGCACGTGAGAGGAAGACCCGAATTTCAGGAAAGGCACTAGCTGAGGGACTTTGGGCATGTCCCTTCACCTCTCTCAGCCTCAGTTTCCTCAACTGTAAAATGGAGTAATAATAGTACCTACCTCAAGGGTTGTTGTGAGGACCAAATGAGACAGCATATGTACGCATGCATAGGCCGGGGTTCAGGGGTCCTGGGTTCAAGTCTGCGTTACCTTGGTGTTCTCTGATAAGTGAGTTCCCCTCTCTGACCCTGTTTGCTTCTCTGTAACCCTAAAGGTCTGGGACCAGCTGGTCCCTAAAGTCCTCAGCTCCCACATTTGATAATTAACCACAACAACGGCAATAATGATAACAGCACCCGGGTCTAGAGCCCTGGAAGTGTTACAGTCACTGAATCTTCACAATGACCTTGTGAAGCAGATGAGATTATTACTCCATTTTATAGACAGAGAAACTGAGACTCAAAAGGGTGAGATGACTTGATTCTGAGCTACGTCCAGGCATGGGGCTTTCAGGGGCCAGAGGCTCTGCCCCACCCTGCTACTGACTCATCTTCTCCGCCCCCTCATCTTTCCTATAAATTTGTAGCACCAAGCCAGGCCCTCCACCCTGGGAGGGCACAAAGATTAATGAATGTTGGTCCAGAGCTTTGAGCCAAGCATATAAAAGGCCCTGCGTCCGGGCCCTGCCTTGATTATCCTTCTTGAGGGGAGTAATTGAGGTCCTAGTGTTTTGTAATGACAATAATGAGGGGGCCCATCTGGAAGCTGGAGGGAACTTGGTCTTTTTGCTTGGGGCTGCCTGGGATCCACCCTCTGGTGAGGTTTTCTAAGGGACGAGGTGGCCCTAGGTTGAGGCCAGCTCTGTCTTTGCTAAAAAGGATTGAGTCACTCTTTCC